CCAAATATGGGTGAAATCGGTTCACAACCACGCCTGAAATCTCGATTATCACTTTATCATGCGAGAGTATAAAATGTTCGGTGACACCCGAACATAGCCCTTCTTTACTTGTTTTTTTTKTTWAGCAGACATGCTTGGATATCGCTCAGGAGCTACGAAAAGATGTAAATGATTCATACTTGCTCAAGGATTTTATTGTTRTCATGTCCGAATACTTATACATTTCCTCAATACGAACGAAAGTAAATATTCTGTCATAATTATTGCCATTAGTTAATTCTTCCTTTATTATAGTATTAAATGTATACATTATATAATACTTATGTAAGTTCTCCAAAACAATATAAATATGAACATTTATTGGCGCATTAATTGAAAAACAAAGACTGCTTTAATGATTTCCACTTGAGTTAAATGGAATGTAATATGTCACATTGCTGCAAGCCATACTAAATAAGCTTTAAGCTCTTCGAACAAGCATATGTTGGCGAATTTATTTTATTAAGTACAGTTTACAGCTGTAAGTGTGCCATAAGGCAAACTTAAACAATTTATTAAGTTACTATACTTTTGCTTAAACGCTACAATTGCAATAATCGTAAATAAATGTATAACTGTGACAGTTTAGGCGCACAGAAGACTGCATAAACGGAGAATTGTTGGGGTGCGACAACAATTTTGTGGCAGATTAGTTTCGCAAGTTTATCTATGGGAAAAAAATATAGTTGCTCTTGGCAAAATAATGGACGTTTAACTCTATAACTTGTATCACCTCATAATCCTTTGTAGAAGTGCGCATTTCTAAGATATTGAAATCATGAGGATGTGCCATAACGAAAGTTAATGAAGCTTTTGTGTTTTCTTTTTTTTTTACCTCAGGATTCAGGATAATAAATTTGATATGTTTATTGGCATTTATTTTCAAGAAAAGCTTATATTATATAATGTCACCACAAAGAGTTGCCTACTCATTGATATCATCCCATTATTCTGCCACTGTATCAAGCACAAGTAATGGGTTTTTACTGCTGTAATTTCACGTCAATATTCGTACAAAGTTCATCTATCGTCACTGGCTTGTTAGCATAGACCATASTTGACGTATTCCCACAGAATCTAGTCTAACGGCGTCAAATCGCACGACCGCTGCGGCCAATGGACTGGGCCATTTCGTGAGATAAAACATTCACCAAACCTCGTTTCCAATAAATCGATTGTGATATTCGCTGTGTGTGGCTTGTGTCGTCATGTTGTAACCACATATTGTCCAAACCCATATCAACCAATTCTGACCAAAAACATTCAATTATCATTGAGCGTTAGCGATTCCTATTCACAATAACGTGCCGATCTTAATCATCACGGAGGACGCCGACGGCCCATAAACCGCACCAAACCGTAATGTTTTTGGGATGCAATGGTGACTCATGGAGTACGTGTGGATTGCTATCTGACCAGTAACGCATATTTTGTTTATTAACGAAGACATTTAGCCAGAAATGCGCATCACCACTGAAGACGATTTTTCGATGGATATCCAGATCATTCTCAAGTTGTTGCTCAGCCCAATTCACGACATACGACGATTCTGGTGGTCAAGTTACTTCAGTTCTTGCATCAATTTGATATTCTAAAGATGTAGGCCAAGATCTACTCGAAAATTCGCCACAACGATATTACAGGTATGGCCAACGATTGAGAACGGCGTGTTAGGGACTGATTTAGTCTTCCTCAATTGCTGTGCTAGCGGCAGCAATATTTTTGATATTAGGATTCTTTTCTCACTGGCATGAGAACATTTTTTACAGTGCCTGTGTATTATAATTTTTCCACAAGATCCTCAATTGTTGATCTGACAGGGCGATTATGRCGACCATAAATTTGACGTAAGGCTCTTAAAGTTAAGGTCACTGACTCCGAACTTCGTTAGTTAATTTCAATAATTTCGACTCGTTGTTGGATCGTATATATTTCCATGATGAAATGACAAACCTTACTGAAGAGAAATGTCTAAAGAGCGGGAAAATATGGTGTCATTTCTTGTCGCCTACGGTCTGCTTTTATAGCGTCGTTTTGAAAAAAAAAAAATCTAGAATATCTAGAAGACAGTTTTTGTAGACTTAAAGATACTGTTATCCAAGTAGAGGTACTTTTTTTTCAAAATTCACAAATATCCCTCGTAAATTGTTGAATAATCAAAAGTAATGATCAAACGGGTTTGAAAATGATATTGCGGCCTTAACCTAACCTWACCACACAGATTCTCTCGGTGCCYTATATGGTACAATCCAACTGGGTTTAGTTGACATGTGCCAAGGGAAAGCGAGGGAAGAAAGGTCGAGACAAAGTGAAACGAAAGCAAAAACAATTCGACAGAATTTAGTCAAAAAGATTAAATTACTTTAAAGCCTAAACTATCATACAACTCCCTTTAATATTCCTTATCCACCAATACATATATATGTATATATATGCACATTCGTGAAAGGCACACTTTTACGAACAACACTTACGTAATTATTTGCACAAACAACACAGTTAACGGTTCACGCGAGTATATAAATGCCGTCCATGCGCTGCACACTGGTCACTAGCGCGAGTCAAATAGCTATGTTCGCCTACATTGTCGCTGTCTCGTATGTTTAAATCGGCAATTAATCAACTCAATTGCGCAAACAAGCCAAAACGGGTACACCCCACACGCGAAAATAAGCCGCCAATTCCATGGTTGTTCTTGTAAATGGCAGTGCAAACATGTCGCATGGGAAGAACGAGAGAGAGAGACAGAGAGAGAAAGGGAGAGTAGACGGGCTGCCGGAAGGGCTTGTTGGACGATTTGCCCGTGCTCGGCGGGGTGTGAGCCGAGTGTATAGTTAGACAGGCGTAACATTGTGTGTCGACCGATGTTCACGCAAATTTATGTTTGCCCAGAAGAACTTTGACTGCACTTAGTCGTGACCACCTACCGCCGCACTTCGATTACCATAGCTCTATGCGTACGACGTACAAATAAAGTTTAGACAACTTATTGCCCTAACAAGCGTCCGCGCGCCGATACGCAAGACACATTACGGATGTGGTATGGTATATTGCTTATTGACTGAACTGGCCGGCGGCGAGGTGGGCAAGTAGGAACATTTGCAATTTATTCCGGCTGGGTGAAATGGGAAAGGCCGCATGCCTATACACCCCGTTACCAAACATATATATMAGTATGCTAGGGCGGTCCGTTAAGTACATAGCTTCATAGACTTTTGGGCGATAATGTCACGAGAGAATTTTAGCACCATACAGCACATTATCATGGACGACTGTGTTAAAAATCCAGCTCCKAAACGAACTTTATAACGTGAGAAAAGTATACGATCTGTTACTGACAGTTGAACGTTTGAAGGAGCTCGAGATAGATGTGGCCCTSGGAATCTCAATAGGTCATATCGCGCATGTCCACGCAACGATTGCTTYCTTAGCTTACACCTGTCAAGAAGACAACTGTGAGACCACTTTACAGCAACGTTTGATGACGCTTAAGTGCCAACCAAAGAAGTTTCTCAACCATCGACGAAACTTAGATCCACTGGTATACCCCGTAACCAAAGAGCAGTCGGAAATTTGAATTCTGCACGGCGAACGTGCTCTCAGAAAGGCGAAAACTGTTATGTCGAATAAAAATAGTTAGCTATCGTTATCTGGCATTCTAAAAGTGTGATCTATAGCGACCTCCTAAAGAAGCTAAAATGGTCTCATGGCTCGGCCAAGCTGAATTTGTGGGCCGCACTGACATCAAGTTGCAAAAAACCATCCCTTTTGGCGAAGAAGACAATGCTCTCCTACTATGACAATGCACMTTTTCTCATATCCGCCGTTGCCCTAGCAAAAGTGGTCAAAATGTGATACGAACCACCACCATCTACCAGATTCTCTTTATTTTGGTACTAACTGGTTTCTTTTTATCTTGGAGAAATTTGAATCTATGACCRCCATTGAGTAGTTCTTTGTAAGTCTGGAAGTCTTTGTAGATCTCGAAGTCTTTATAGATCACGAGGTAGTTCTTGTAGGTCTCAAAAAAAAACTTTTTTTGTATGGGTTCAAAAATTTAGAGCAACTTTGTTAAAGTGTATCGAGTTCAAAGAAAGCTAAGGCTATACTAAGAGCTTGTCGGACCATCCTTGTACTTACATATCTAAGTTTATACTAGTAAATATATATAGTTATGTGGCTGCTATCATGCATGCGTTGCTGCTGTTTGGTCTTGTTGTCATTATTATTGCTGTTGTGTAGGCTATTGTTGCTGCTAAAAGAGCCGTAAAGGAAAATTAATTGGCTACGCTGCGTAGGCCGCACTTAATCATTTTAATTAATATGACAGGTGATCCGACATTGCATAAGAGAATGCTCCCTCAGCGCACCACCAGCCAAGACATCCCATAAGCAACAACCATCCGCAACACTAGGCAGCAATAAGATGGCAAAGCAAGACGACAGCAAAAGGTGGTGCGAAACTTGTTGAACGGCCGAAGAAGTAGAACGCTGGTACGCATATCCAATTACCACTGCTTACCGTTTGCTAAATCATGCACCCCTGGCGCCATATTGCTTTTAATTAGTTTGACTCTTGACACTGGCCTCATTTATTTAAGTTGATGCTCTTGATCACACACACACACACACACATTCACATTCATGTGGTTTAATGTCCAGCTCGTATTACAGCTTTCTAACTTTGCATACCTCTCGACTTTTTCACTTGCAGACGCGCCATACTGGCCAACACTGATGTCTCCGGCCATACACCTTGGCAGAGTATCTTCCAACATGATTACTGGGGTACACCGCTTACCGATGCTGGCTCGCACGGCTCCTACCGACCACTGTGCGTGCTCAGTTTTCGTTTCAACTTCCTGCTTGGCGGCTATACACCTTGGGGCTTTCATCTCATCAATAATCTAATGCACTGTTTGGCCACGGGTTTGGTGGTGAAGTTGGCGCGTTACTTTCTAAACTCCGTTTGGGGTGTGCTGGCGACGGGCGCCATCTTTGCGGCGCATCCCATACACACCGAGGCTGTGGCGGGTATTGTGGGCCGCGCTGACCTAGCGGCCTGCATTTTCTACCTGCTGACATATCTAATGTATATGCGGCACATAGTGTGGCGTGAACGTGGCGAGGCGCGACAGTGGTGGGCGCTTATACTCACGCTGGTATTATCACTTGTAGCTTTACTTTTCAAGGAGACGGCGATTACGGCGCTGCTGGTATGCGCCATATTCGACAGCTTACGTGGGCTGTGTGGCTTTCGCGACAAGGTAAGTAACTGCGTTTTCTTAAGGTTTACCAAATAAGTGCTGTAATGACCACCATTTTTCACAATTTCCTTTACGACTTTGCCATTGCAGCACCGTATGCGCACGCTCTGCATACTGGCCGTGTCGCTTATGTGCATCGTCTATTGGCGTCTACTRGTGCTTCCGCGTCCGCAAACCGCCTTTTCAACAGCTGACAATCCAATCGCGAAAATGCCTTCGATGTGGACACGCTTCCTGACCTTCCTCTACCTGCCCGTCTTCAATTTCAGTCTACTGCTGAGTCCGCGTGTGCTCAGCTTCGACTGGGGCATGGACGCCATACCGCGCATAACCTCAATACGTGATGAACGCAATCTACTTAGCTTTGCTTTCTACAGCACGCTAGCCACACTGGCTTTCAAGTGCTTTAAATATTTGTGGCGACGGCGTGCCGAGCGCATCGCAAAAGAGCAGCGCCATGCACAACAACAACAGCAACAACTGCGCAAGTCACGTTCGAAAAAGAAATATCGCATACCGGACATAACGGCMGCGGCATTGGAATCAAAATCGACTTACAGCTTACTAGATGCAACAACGTTAAGCCGCGCGCCYTACAGCGCCGCAGCCAGTACAACAACGACGGCGATGCAGGCACTGTTACAGCCCGAGGCGTTGCCGAGCTCGGCACACCTGCCGTGCCATTGCCACGATTGTAAGCAGGAGCTTAGCTCTGCGCATCATACCGCTACGTGTCGCGCGCTCAATAATAATAACAATAACAATGTGCAGTGGCTGCATGCGAACGCGTTCAGCGATTGTTGTTGCCATCAGTTATTTCAGTCTTCCAGTGGCGCGCCACATCTGTTGGCGGTGGCGTTGCGTAAAGCGCTCATGGCGGTGGTGCCGCGCTCCTCGCGCAGCAGCAGTCGCTGCAGCAGCAGCACGACAGCCAGCAACAACAGCTCCGGYAGCAATACCTCCAGTAGCAGCAACTGCAGCAGCGCTTCAGCAACGCAGGTGACAGATCAACAGCGCGCWCGTYTAACAGCGTCACCCACTGCGTTAACACCGCGCGCCGCGCAGCATACCAACAACGCGTGTATATTGTTGATGGCTTTGTCATTTCTAATGCTGCCGTTTATACCCGCTACGAATTTATTCTTCTACGTCGGTTTCGTGGTTGCCGAACGCTTGCTTTACTTGCCCAGTGTCGGCTATTGCCTATTGGCTGGCTATGGTATTAGTAAGCTGATGGAGCGCGTACGCTCGCCGGCCGCACGCAAGCGCAAGATGGCACTAATACTCGGTCTCAGCCTGCTGTTGAGCGTGCTCGGCGCTCGTACGGTGCAGCGCAACTACGACTGGTACGACGAGGAGAGCCTCTTTCGTAGCGCGGTGCAAGTAAATCCACCAAAAGGTAAGCGAAATAAAACTAGACGAACTGAGACCGCCATAAAAGACATTATAATTCTTAATTAGATGACTTTATTTAAATACTTATTAGTTCTATATTAATCTCTTATAAATTATTGTATAACTCAAATATATTTTTGGTTCACTTCATAGCTCTCGGCAACTTAGGAAGTGTACTTAGCTCTCAAGGACGTTATGAAGAAGCACAGGAAGCGCTGATTGAGGCGATTAAGCATAGACCGAATATGGCGGATGTGCATTTCAATCTGTAAGTACTTAATAATTTTATTTTAATTACTTTTCAAATATATGAATGGCAGTCACAATTATCTTAGAATGCTGGATAAAACACTCAGGTCAAAAATTAAATTACAGCTCGATCCTAGAATGATGGTACKTCATGAAATTCACTATCAAGCCTTCTAGGTAAAGAATATTTTCCGCTAACCGTTGTGTTGTAAGGATTGTCCAAGCTCAAACAGTTTTCTCTATATGCCTGAACACTGAGAGAACTCAAATAAAATAATCCTAATTTTAATTAAAAGCTTCAGAGAAAGAGGTAAAAACATTCCAAAAGGAGTTTTTGATAAAAGTTCTCGGGGAATATAGTGCTAGCTGAGAGAGAGGGAGAGAGAGAGAGATACATAGTAAAATAAGAAAGTAGAGCAACCGCGAAACTATTGTCTTTGTTCTCAAGCAAAGCACCTACGGATTAATTCGGGAAAAAATTAAATATTGGATAGTGGCGAATCGGACAATCAACTGACATAAGTGAAACAAAGAAGTTGTCGATATAGCAGTATCAAATCTCCATATTTATATATTTGAGATTTCCTCCTAACACAGAAACTTCAATTTTTTTTTATTTTTTTTTTTTTTTTGGGAAAAGATTATTATCATTCGAAAAAACATTCTCTGGCAGTTGAGTTGAACAAAATTTGGCTTGAAAACGTCGAATCTTCTTGGCACAGTTCAAAAGCCCAAATAGCKAGCGAGGTCGCTTGGGATGCTCGAGCGGCTTTAGTTCTGTTGCTCAAGCTGTAATTTGTATGCTTTCTTTTAAAGATCTCGACGTAAAATGCGCGAAGTCTTTCCATATGCCAGTCCGAGTTGCTACGAACGGCACCGAGTCGAACTTGAGATATTCCACACGCCATTTTGTCTCCAAGAAACTGCTTATTTTTCAGAACCACCGATAACGACTGATATACAAACTTATAGATTCAACTCAAGTACGGTGCATCCTGGGTAATACTACCTGATCTACGGCCTTCTTGCTCTTTTAGACTCCCACGGACTTCTGACCTTTGACTTGAAATGGACATTGCCTGGACTATTAGATGGACAGGTTTGAACCCTACGCTGGTGGTCGTAGTAATCTCTCACCTGAGTATGCAGTGGTAACATCTCGCATAAATGGCTGTTGGCGTGATAACAAGGCTGTCTCCACTAAAGACCTAGCCAGCCTTGGAGTAAGTTCCCCTCTTGCCTTCATTAAGTTGGCGTAGTAGGTGTAGGTTGATGTACTGGTTCGTTCTGGACACACATTCCACTTACGTAAGCCCGACTATCGCGGGAACTGCATGGCTTTCCCTCGCTAGGGGCAATAAAAATAGGAGAAGGCGCTAGCAATCTGCACACAGAAACCAAAGTTAGGACAAAAGTACGAATTGAAATTGCCCGCACCAATAGAATAATATCTGGTAAGATCATGGGGTTATGGGGACCCCAGCGAACGCTCTGGAGGTTCTGTGTGGATGCGTGTGACCGCAGCTAAATAGCTGAAGTCAGACCATCGCTTGACAGCCAAAGTTTTTGGATCACTATGCACTACACGATTTATTTAATTCACGAGAACTCTGTTARCAGCTACCTCTAATAGCTTCCACTATTATGCTTTCTCCAAAAGTATATCTGCTAAGAATTTAAGAATTCCTTAAAGAAATTTCACTGCTGGTAAAATAAAGATATAACAGCCTCATTCAATGAATGACTGGTTCACAAACTCAACAAACTAAAATAATCACCTTCAACGTTCGAGCGTTTTACAACTTACTTTAATTCCGCTTCAAGTGTCCACATCTACTTTTCCAGTCAGAGCACACTTATGCACCGGAGTGCGGATTACTTAAATGTTGCATATTATCATCCATTCGATTTTCTGCGTTTTTTTTTTTTTTTTGTTCATTTTTTCCTTTCTTGCATTTGCTGCCTTCCTGCAGCTGCCTGCGTATTGCTATTTTCCTGTCGTTTTCCGTTTCCGTTCCGTTGTTCGTCATTTGCGCCATTCCAATTGCAACGGATTGCTTGCAAATCTCAGCGATTAAGTCACATTTAAGTAGAATAAATGCTGCAGCGCCAACAAAAACAGAAAACAGAGAATAAAAAGGCAAAAAAATGCGAAGAAAAAAACGACGAAAGCTGAAATTCAAATGAACTCCTGCAAARGAGGCCAACCGGAAACTGAAGAAGCGGCAAGAATGAATGAGGGAACGAAGCCGCAGCAGCACCAGGCACAAGCTTATGCACCGAACTGTCGGTAGACAGACACCAATACACTCAGACGCAATTGAGAGTGCACTCATCAGCGCTGTCGCTTTCAATGCCCCTTACAACCTTACAACGGGGCCCTGTTAAGCATTTGCAGTGCTTTGGCTTGCGTTTTTTATGACTCCAGTTTTGGAGTTGTTGTTGTTGTTGTTGTTGTTACTATGGTTTTGTTCATGAGCTGGAATGGCTTAGAGATCTATATACATACTCCACACATTTTCACTACTTTTTACCAATAATCTTGTTTGATCCCACCCGCCTAGGCGGCCAACCAGCGACCCACCGGTGTTCGTAAATTGCTGCAACGCACCATTTCTAAATTCAAAAGCCTCGTTTAAATGAATGCCGCAATGGTAGCTGTTGAGTACATATTTCGCATTCGCTTTCTCATTTGCACAACAACACGCACACAAACACATAGACGCATATATTTTACTCACACACATACACAACCCAAAGCAATTTTCACTTTTTTTCTAAGCCTTATTTTTTTTTTTTCATTCATTCATTTCGCCAGCGCTTTTGTTGTATGCGTGTGCATTGATGTGTATGTGTGTGTGTATTTTTTCGATTCTGCTTTGCAACTTATACTCTGGCAACGTCAATAGTATTGCTGCCGCAACATCATGGCCACTGATAGTCGCATTTAACTGCACGTCGGTGTATTGGTYTTTTGAATCTTTTTATCTACAACATTTAAAAAGGAGGAAAGGCATCAAAACAAGCTATCACTATGGCAACTCAGGTGCGCAACGTAACTGTGTCAGTTCGTTTGTGCGACTTACAGCCATACATACACAGCACAATAGAGTCTTATGTAGCCTGTGATCAGTTATCACTTTAGTTTGCGTCTATTTCGATTTCAAAGGCTTAAAAGCCGACAAGAGACAACGTGTTTAATTTTCCTTTGCTCGACAACTTCGTTTCATTTTGCACTGAAGACAAGAAAAATTACCTGTTTTCAGGTTCAGTTATGARGCGATGTCAGGTCTAGGATCTTAAGGCTTGATTTTCTTCATACGAATAAAATTCAATTCATACCTGAACTCTGCTCATACCASCCTGTCCAACTATGCTATCATCCAGGAAAGAAATTTAAATTTCCAAGAAAGTTGGACCTCCCTTATTTTTTAGAGAGGCCCAGACGTAAAATATTGAAAAGAGTTAATCTGGAACATATTATATTATATCGTGTAAGATAGTCGATTCCGTTCCGGAAAGCCAAATTATCGATAACTTAATTGTTGAGTCGGAACGTTATGTCCTTAGACACTGTTCCCTGATAAGCCTGTGCTAGGAATGGACAAGACTGAATTAACGGTCAATAAGGGTTTTAGTTATACTTTGGTGGTATTGGCAAGGAATTATCTAATGTGAACTGATTTCCAAACTCTTCACTCAGACCTATACTGGCAACAATTGGACCTCCCAAATTGCCCAGAAGCGGCCAGCCTTAGGTATTCCCATATGTTATACGCGTAAATATCGATACAAAAACCGATAGCAAAAGCTTTGTTGAAAGACTCTTATGCATTCATATTATAGCTTGAGTCTAGCACCACGTAATTRCCACCTGTTCCTGTCTAGGGCCAATGCTTTTAATACTGAGAAATTTGCTTCAACGAGTGTTCATATGCGAGTGGTATTATGAAGCTACCTACCAAATGGCAACARGGCCCTATTCGATGCTTTGAACAACTAAACTGTATACCACCGGGAGACTATATATTTAGTGGAGTTTTGTGAGGATTGGTGCCTCCCATAATGTCCAATACTATAAAAATACGCTATTTTGAAGAACAATTCCACATACGAGTATATTCCGCTTTTCTAATAATAGGCWGTGTGATATTAAGGTAAATTGAGGTAGATAATTGTTATGAAAATATKTTGGAAAATAAGAGATAACTTCATATAGCCATAATATGCCCACTTGAAAGTCCTTCAAATAAACTAAAAATCTAATAGTTTGAATTCGGTTTCTTTGCTCGTAAACCAAACCATAATATATATATAAGGTTTGGTATTACACATTTATAAAATCGGTCATCCTTCGCAGTCACCTCTGTTTACCTCTATATCGATTTGTGTGGAATATATTCAGAATACGAAGAATTCCGCTTAACATAACCAAATAAAAAAGTGACCTAATGAATAAGTTAGCTTGCAAAAAAAATGCCGTTCACTGAAAATCGTAAAACTGAAAACCTTTGTGTTTGCCAGAAGTCAAAGGGAACTAAATAAGGCGAATACGATGGGCTCGATATTGGCTCAAAATTAAGCAAAAAACTCACGAATAATCAAAGCTGTAAGCGAAGATGGTGGTGCAAAAGTCCAGACTTTTCGGTCCATAATTTCGACCTCTTTTTAAGTCGCCATTCGTAAGGAATGAGGAGTGAACCAAACCTCGATAATAGAAGAAAACTGTCAACATAACTTTGATTTTTGACCTGCTTTGACGTGGTATTTTCGTCCTTGGCTCATCTGKGCCACGACATTCGGTCGAACGATCGCCTGTTTCCGGATTGTAAGCATGAACCAATACTCATTGCCAATAATAATATGTTTGACGACGTCCTGATACTCGGAAAGCAAGGTTTCACAGTAGTTAACAGCACGCTGTTTTTCCAAAAAATTTAATGATTTTGGAATCAATCGTGCTTTCACTTTTTTAAAAATACACACAGTCTTTCAAAATGGTTTTCACTGATCCGATCG